TTTTTTTTTATATTTTTTTTTTTTTTTTTTTAAATTTTAAAAAAATATTTTCTGTACAGATAATTTACCCTAACTACGTGGCTGTATAGTCGATAGATTTTTGGTTGGGGGGGGGATATTAATCATGCCTGCCAGGTGTCAAGCAGATATGTTTATGTCAGGGGTCATGCGCCGTTTGACCAGATGATAAACTTGGACTAATTGGACCAAAGAGGCACATTGTGGTGTCTACATGAGATAACTAGAGCCCAATCTGACCGTATTTAGACCCCGTGTGCAAAGAGTGGGCTGAAACGAGACCTTCAAAAGTGAAACAGTAGTTGAACACGATATGTTCAGGCTGACAAAAAAAAAGATAGGACAATGAAGATGACGTTTTTGGGCTATATGCCTTATTCAGCATACAATACAATACAATACAAATATACAGTACAGTAGGCCTACAGAACAGTATAGTACAATACAATACGTTAAAATTTTGCTTCAAATTTCATTTCGAACGCATTATGTTGTTTAACTATATAGTATAGTGCGTTCAAAAAGCAATTTGACGAAAATTGTAACGTGTTAACTGAAAAATTGATTCGACCTAATTTCCGTTCGATCAAATTACCATCGATCAATTTATCGACGACGAAATTTCTTTCGATCAAATTTCCGGTAACCTCCGTTAACAGGCGGTAGTGGGAATTGGGGAGGCGCCAGTGGACGCTAATTGCAGTAGATGGTAAAATATAAAAAAATACTTATTAGAAAATGTTCTGTTCTTTTTTTATAATAAATTGTTTAAATCGGATACACAGCGGATTACCCGGGCAGTAACCGGGTGCCCGTTGACAGCCCGACTTATACTTACTAGGAAGTTGGTAATAAACTTCATATATATATTATGTAAAGTCATGTTTTGAATTTTTTTTTAACGGGAGATAACTGATATAAAACTGAAATGATGGAGTTAGTGTCCAAGTTATCTTTTTACAATTCATTCGTTTGTACGTCTTTGCTTATTTATGTGTCAAATATCCCAACTGTTCCTTCAGTTTTCAAATTCTGTCACGTTTTTCACAGTAATTCGGTCCTCCGATTTAGCGTTATTTATCATGTTCATCTTGACCTGTGTTTTCCTGGTTTCTGGAACTGGCGGTTTCAGCTGGAATATGTATTTAATTTAACTGCAGGCTGTAGGCCTACATCTGCGTACTTGACGGAGATCAATCCTATCTCCCTTCTTCTGTAGTTTTAGTGGTGGTTTAATATAATTCTTCAATTTGGTGCAGACAATTTAGATGCGTGCACCAAGCTAATGGATGCAATATATATGTAAAATTTAAATCACTTATAATATAATTATTAAATGTCTAAATTATTTTAAAATAAATATTTAATTTTCATTTGATAATAAATAGGCTAAAAATATTTTAAAAATCAGTTGACTTCCTTACAATAAAAATAATAACTATCATTTTCATTGCAACGGGCCTCTGCCTTTATTATAATTGGCAGGTTGCTTGAAAAATGCCATGTCCTGCAATAAGTGTTTATATATAATAAATATGGAATTATTTAAATTATGAGATGTTTCTTTCCATCATTAAATTGAATTAAAATATCAAATTTTCTGACATTTAAGGGGAAAAGGGGGGGGGGGATCTTTTTTCTTTCAATACTTTTATTAAAAGGTCAATTCGAAGAACAATCAAAATAATTCAGTATCATGGTTTTAAAACATATGCGATAGACTTGAATTTGTGTGTTAATTAGCTGTTTCACACTATAAGAGAGAAGCATATACTAAGACATTTATTAGATTTTCAACACTATATTAAAACACTAGCATAAACATATAAGGACATCAAATTGATTTTAAGTTATTTGAAAATATGAGCCAGCAGAACGGACCTTTCCGAGGATTGGCGAAGTGACTCTTCGGACATTTCCGTCGTGCCGACCTAACCCGCCAAATAGTAATGACAGTTTGGCATTTCGGAATAACTTATAAAAAGTTGATGTTAACGTTATAAAATTGGAGATGAATTCAAAAATAATTTCATAATTTTATTAATATGTTCATCTCCATTGAAAATTTAAGCTTCGTAAAGCTATAAGCAATATGAAAAAATAAATTTTCTTATTATCACACACTACTATTTATTTCATATACAAATATACCTGGCAATATTACCGCTAAGCACAATCACCCAAAGAGCAGTGCTTTGTGTGATAACTTAATTTACAGTTTGCAAATAATCAGACGAAATAAAATGTCTGAATCAGAACAGGAATTGGTAGACGAATCATTAGGACAAGATGATTCGGTGGGTATTTGTAAACTATTTTACTTGCTTAAAATAATTCAGTAGTAAATCAAAATAGGCTTGCTAGCACCGGGTTTACTCTGCTTATCATCAGAGTTCATAGTCATAGTCATAGTTCATAGTCATAGTCATAGTCTTGGAAAGTATTAATTTTAAGTATTTTTTATATTATCTGCCCTTCTCACCGCGCTTTTTGCTTTTTTTTTTTCAATAAGTATTTGAATTAAAATTAATTTCTTTTTCAAATATGACTGTTTGATAGCTTTACCTGCGTGTTTTTCAATTGATTGGGTGGTAAAAAAAAATTATGTCCTACCACCTACAGCCTGTACAATTAATTATAAAAAAAATAAAAGTTTTAATTTAGAGAATATGAATAAGACCTTTACTTTTACTAATTAAAATTAGTAGACTTATTTAATTGGTAAATGTTCAGTTAGCAGCATTGGCTTTGCCAAAAGTTTTTTCCACCCAAAGCACAATGTCACTTTTGGGAATCCCAGGACAGGGCCAACAGTTGGACCTAAATGACGATAATGTTGATAACATTCCCATTCTTCACTGAGCATTATTTGCGCCAAAAACATAATCTGACGATCGATAGTTAATTATTACTAACTATGAAATAAATATAAATGAAATTTGCCATTCGGTTTTTATTAAAATTCAACTTCCATTGCAAGGTTGAAAAGATAAAAATCATACTGGATGATACCCCAAGATGAACACCTGAAAAAAGATGTGCACATGTTTTAAAGTGCTGTTTTTATTGATTGAAAATGAAGTGCCCATATATGCTTTTCATATCTATAATACTATAATGTCGCAAATGACGGGACATTTCAAAATAGTAGAGGGGAGGGGCCTCTTTTTCAAGCAAAAATTTTAATGAGAGAAAAAATGTATCAAATGGACGGTAGTAGACCTGGGGAACTTTCATGACCTATATGCCGTCGAAGACATAGCCGCTAACTGCATTTTAGCCCAAAGTATTAATATCTGGGAAGCGTTATATGCAGTAGGCTGCGTATAACCCTGAGAGTTATACGCAGGCGACTGCGCATAACCCTGAGGGTTATTCCCAGCCGACTGCGTATAACTCTAAGGGTTATACGCAGTCGGCTGGGAATTTAGCCAAAAAGGTCTATTACCGCTAGTTTTACCATTTAAAAAAAGTATTATGCATAATTAGCTGCATTATGGGTTGTTTTGAACTATAACTTTTAATGTGTTTAACGTAAAATTTTAATTGAATTAATTTTAATTAATATTGAATGATAGTAATAGTATTAGTTCTATTATTAGTATTATTGCTTTTATCTTATATATTATAAGTCAAAGTCTACATTTCTTAGAGTCTAAGCCTAAGAAGATGATTTTTTAAAAGCAATTTCCATGGTCTAAGTCTAGTTCTGTATTCCGATTGATTAGGTTTTTATATGTTGCTATGACCATCAAGTGGTTGGTCTTACTGACTAATTCAGGAAATACATTCTATTTATTTTATTTTTTTAAATATATAATTCATGATTTTTTATATTTTTTTTTGGTGACCTAAATGTAACAGTTTTCAGCTTCCATGTAAAACTATAATTGTGTGAAAGTATTACTTACATTGCCCCCTCTACAGAACCCCCTGTCCCTACAGCTATTTTTGTTACTGCTACTCTCCTCCCCTGATTATATTTATTACTATACCTGAGAAACATAATTTTATCTGCCACAAAATTAGTTAACAACACAAAATATACGTTAACAACACAAACATATATTTGATAATTATAAGAATAACATTATTAACATTACATTGGTCTAGTTAATAATTCTTGTCATGTTTTAACATTTTTTAGCCAAAACAAAATAAAACAATAAGCCTAGTTATTTTCGCTTCATTCTCGACAACAAACTTAGCTACTAATACGTATTTATGGCTAGCCTTTGGCTGGAGTTGAACTCAAGTCCACCAAATTGAGGTTTGCTCAGTTTATATCATTCGACCACCCAGTCACCCTTAGGACAAGGCACCTTTATCGATCGATACTGTAACACAGGAAGAATATAGACCTCACGTGACTTGCCGACTGCGTATAACTCTCAGGGTTATACGCAGTCGGCTGCGCATAACCACTTCGTTAATATATTGCACTGGATCTGGTACAGTAGCTTCTCAACTTACACTGTTAACGCTCCCTGTGAAGTTCTTAGTCCACAGAAGTTACAGCATACTACAGTTCACTAGACTAATAAATCAGACAGACATAAATTTATAAATATAAAACTATATATATTATTGTAGGGAATTGAATTGACTAATGTGTTCTTTATGAATCGAACTGCAATCTCAACATTTATGTAAATGATATCCTGATTAGGATAATTTTTGCATGCAATTTTGTTTAGACTTAGAATAAACAAGTCTTGCAGATTTTTGTTACATTTTATCATTGAAGCCTAAATTAGTACCAACAAATATTTAAATGGAGTTCAGTGCGAAAAACTGCATAAAATATTTTGGCATATTTCAAGGTCACATGTTTCTAAAACATTTCAGTTATGGGGTTCACTGGGTACCAAAAATATATATATAATGATAGAACACCATAAACTATCAATGGAAGCTGCCGTTAAAATGGCGAGAGGAGCAAGAAACTTGAGAAGCAATCTGATTAGCTGTTACAAAGACCAGCCAGCCAATCTCTATTATGTAAATTATTAGGCAGATGGATCAACCATTTGTGTGAATTTCGTCTCAGGGCAGATAGATCTGAACAGCCATCTCAATGAGGGTTAATTCCTGATTTTATCACTGCTTTTAAAATTGAGTGACTTAGTTTATGCAATGCTTAAGCTTTAGTACCTATTCAATTTGAAAGAGTAACTCCAAATATTTAACATAGATTATACATTCAAACATGCTTAGCTGCATCTCTCAGCGTTTTATACTGCTTAATGAGCTGTTCAAGTGTGTGATTTTCTTTCTCATTATATGCCTTTGGGTCTCTTTAACATGCTGATATTTAAAGGGAAATGCTTTTGAAATAAGCTTGCTATAAGTATTTCTTCCTCAAAAAGGTAGAGACGTAATGTTAATAATGCTTAATAATTTTGGCTTATAATCATAATATAACTTTCGCCACATGTTTGTGACATAGTCAAATTTTTACATTTTCAGTTATTAAAAGTTTTACATGCTTAATAAAAAGAATACATTCTTCCAACTAGAGTCTCTAAAACTAAAATAATATTTTTGTTAATAATGAAATTAAAACTTTAATAAGTAATTAATGAATTTTTCTTTCAACATCATTTGAACCATCTCAACATCCTATTCAGTGTTATCCTATTACGGTCAATTCCATTTGTATTCATTTGTTTTTTGTTTTTATTTGGCGAGTAGAACTGGGGCATGACACATAAAAAAAAAGAAAGAAAAAGCTTGGGAACGTTTGATGTAAGTTTTTTAAAATAGTTAAGATGTAAAATTCAAGAACAGGTGCAATGGAAGCAACAGCAATATCTACAAAAAAGCAAGGTATAGACCTTTTTAAAAAAAAAGCGCAATTTGATAGGCATCACCATTTTGAAGCCTCTCATGGTCTTAGGCATTTTCACCAAATTTAAAAGAACCCTTAAATTTTTACAATAAACTAACCACATGAAAGTTAGAATTTTTGGTTTAATGTATGACTATCAATATTGAAGCCTACTGGCTATTTGTAGCTAATTATTATTATTTTAGCCAGGCTGATTTTATGGTTTGTCAGATTAGCTGTAAACTAAATTCTGGGAAGAAATGATTCTGGGGTATAACAATATATGATACTTAATGAACAAAGTTGTTGTGGTTATTAACTCGTTATAGTTATTAATATTTCTCATTGGATAACACCCCCCACATAGTGGATTTAAACAAATGTTCTTTACTCTGGGTATTTCCTCAGGAATGCAGACGATTATTTATTTTCTGCATTGGTTATGATGTGTATTTGCCGTTTAACAAAATGAATATTGACATTAAAATGTATTTTTTCAGTCTCCTGCTAATGTGAGTGGCCCTTCTATCTTGCTGAAATCACCACCTAGATCAGGTCCAAAAGATGAAGCTTATGAAGAAAAATTGGTAATTGTCAACTTGATTGTTTTATATGACAGTGTAATGAACACATATTTAGTATGTTGAAATATTTGTTAATGGACAAGGTTTATATATCTTATTCTTGCAAATACGAATATAATGAAACCATATTCTCACTTCATACTTAATCAATTCTTTTCCCCCTATGACATTGCTATTTTAAAAAAAACAATTTATAATTGACATATTAACAGGAAAAAGATAGGAGCAACCGCTTCAACTTCTTGCTTAAGCAGACAGAGTTGTTTGCACATTTCATGCAGACAGGGGCTCAAGCTGGTGGAGGTGGGCCCACAAGTCCCCTTAAAATGAAAGGGAGACCAAGGCTACATAAAAATGATGAAAAATCCAAGCTTGTAGCTGCTGGAGAGTACGTTCAATGTTTAAATAATTTGTTAAGAAGATCATATTGTTGAGGACATTCTTTTGGCTTAAGCCAAAGTGTTGACATAATCAAGTATTATTTATAATAGAATAATCCGTATTTCTGTTATGGATTTTAAAAATGATTATTGATTTTTGTGGTTACAGAACTGTATTCAAATAAATTGCGTAATGGGAACAAAATTAAGGCAGAGACATTTAATGGGCACTTAATGAGCCTCTATCAGCGATAAAATGGGCTATTGTAAAATTTCAGTTTCTGGGCACTTAATGAACCTCTATCTGCCATAAAATGGGCAATTGTAAAATTCAGGTTTCCTTATGTTTGTGAGTGACATAAGTAAAATTATAATTATGCGGCATCTGACTTGGTGTTAATGATCAAGCTCAAGAATTTGTAAATCATATATAGATAATTGGACGTACTGTGTTCACTCGATATCAGACTCATTAACTTGGATACAATTATTTATGCAAACATCACCAGTTTTAACTGTTAATTGGTAAAAAAAACTAAACGCTGGGTGCATAATAATAATTTTTAAAAAACAATGACACATTTTTATGTAAGAAAGGCATAAAATGGTTTTATAAATTACTACCAATACACAAAAACATTTAAAATTAAAAAATTAAGTTTTGTATTGTTATTATTATTAGTGGTGGTTTTGTATAGCGTGGTACCCCAGCCTAGGGCTGGGCTCACCACGCTGTGCATACAATTTAATAAACATGAACTTAAAAATTTAACATAGATTAATTAAATAAAGCAAAACAAATGTATATTCACTCCACACATTCAAGAGTTTAAAGAGACGTGTTTTGAGTGCAGTTTTGAAGGCTGTGATGGTCGGTAAATTGCGAGTATGTAGTGGAAGAGAATTCCATTGTTTGAGGGCACAGAAAGAGAAAGATTGTTCACTGTATGCTTTTGTGCGAGTCTTGGGGGCAGAAAGAATGCGCATCTGCAGAGGAACGAAGCTGTCGAAGGGGTGAATAGACAGAGAGAAGTTTGGTTAGATAGGAAGAGCAGGAATTCGAGAAAAAGATGTGGCCAGAGGACAGAGAGTTTTTAGTCAATCTGTGCTTTTACGGGGAGCCAATGAAGTAGTCGTGTGACGTGATCACCTTTTATTGCCTTTAGAAAGCATAGATTTGCTAACACATGTCCAATTCAACATTTTCGCTCTTTGGTGATTTTTTAAAAAAAAGTTCTAGTACCAAATATTTTTCTATGAAGACCAGTGATTGGGCCAATTGGTTTAAATTATTTTCAAAATCTTATTTCTAAAACCCATGATAGGTGTGTCAAAAACAATATTAAAACATGTTTCTAATTTTGCTATCAGTCATAGACACAGACGGACTGAGGAGGAGGAAGATGAGGAGCTGCTGACTGAAGCTAAGAAATCTGGAAATGTGCTAGTGAGATTTGAAGCCAACCCAAATTGTAAGTTACTTAAACATTTGTTTTTAATCTACACAGATTGTATAAAAATTAAATGTTAGCTTCAAATTCCAGATGTTAATTTTGTAACTTTCTCAGATATGCATTTAAAATTACACGTTTTGAGTTAAAGTTTAATGTTAAATTATTTTTTTTACAGTTATTAAAGCTGGTGAAATGAGGGACTACCAAATTCGAGGTCTCAATTGGATGATTTCCCTTTATGAGAATGGTATCAATGGTATATTGGCTGATGAAATGGTAAGTAAATTTTGTTTTTTAATGGTTTGAGATTTATTATTAGTATAGCACTACGCAGTGTTAGCTTTAAGTGTGTCAATCTCATTCAACCTTTATCTTTCAGGGCTTAGGTAAAACTCTCCAGACTATTTCCCTGCTGGGGTACATGAAACACTACCGTAACATTCCATCCCCTCATTTGGTTATCTGCCCAAAATCTACACTTGCTAACTGGGAGGCAGAATGCAAGAGGTGGTGCCCAACTCTCAGAGCTGTCTGTCTCATTGGTGATGCTGAGAAAAGGGTATGCTCAATAAATGACTTATCTTCAATAGTGCTTCAATTGATTTGACTTTTTCAGAGAAATCCATGTACAATGCTTTGTAAAATAAATAACTTATTTTGCTTTCAAACCACGTTCGTGCTAAATGTTAATTAAAGTTGATAATCAATTTTATTTTGTCAATTTAGGCTGCCTTCATCAGGGATATTTTAGTACCTGGAGAGTGGGATGTGTGCATAACGTCTTATGAGATGTGTATCAGAGAAAAATCTGTCATGAAAAAGTTCAATTGGCGCTATATCGTCATTGATGAGGCTCATAGAATCAAAAATGAAAAATCTAAAGTAAGTATTCTCGGCGCTGATTGACCTTTTGCATTTAAAGTTTGTTTTTATTTTGAATTATTTAACATTCCTTTATTTCTGAAAATGTAAAATGTTCAGCTATAAATTAAGAATGGCTACTTATTCTTTTGATTAAATGGTCAGTAATACTTTTCTGTATGTGTCCTATAAGGTTTTTTTATTATATCCTTTATGAATAACTTAATTTGTGTTATGTGCGCTTAAGAAAACTTTTGAGAGCAAATTTTGAAGTGATTTTGTTGCAGTTATATTTTTTGCTAATATATTGATTCCATTCAAATTCTTTAAATGTGCAGCTGTCAGAAATTGTGAGAGAATTCAAATCAACAAATCGTTTGTTGCTGACTGGTACTCCTTTGCAAAATAATCTTCATGAGTTGTGGGCCCTTCTTAATTTCCTTCTTCCTGATGTTTTCAATAACTCTGAAGTAAGCATTTATTTTTACCTACATGAAGTTCATTTTAGTTAAAGTCTTGCAACAGTTATAAATTTTTTATGGCTAAATATGGTTGCAGTAGGATTTCTTTGAACATATATGCATAATAAAATGTTCACATTGTCATGATTTAAATTTGTTTGATAATATCTTTAGGATTTTGATGCATGGTTCAATGCTAACAGCTGCTTTGGAGATCAAGAGTTGGTTGAGAGATTGCATGCTGTAAGTTTATTTTTCTCTTAAATTTTAGACATTAAAGATTTTTAACATAAATCTTAATATGAACTCTTTTTATTAAACATAAAAGTGCTCATATTAAGGTTTTTTTTAATTTACTTTATTGTTTTAGCTTAATGCAATTTTATGCACACAAGTCACTTACTTTATTACATGCTCTTTTAATATTAACACTTTGGGGGGTTTTTTTCCCTTAAAAGAAACAACCTAGATGAGATTAAATAAATGTCTCTATAATTTTGTGTAGCTCACTATGAAAAACATTTGTTTTTAAAATAGGTTCTCCGTCCATTTTTGCTGAGAAGAATTAAATCGGATGTTGAAAAAAAACTGCTGCCCAAAAAGGAAACCAAGGTCTTCATTGGTCTCAGCAAAATGCAAAGAGAGTTGTAAGTTATATCTTTCTTTTATTTTCCTTTTTTCTTCTTTAAACAATATGTGTTGGTAGTTCCCAGCAAGTCTTTGTTTCATGAGTTATTCAAGTCACTTGATTTTATTTTAAGGTATACAAAGATTCTGATGAAAGACATTGACGTTGTTAATGGTGCTGGTAGATCAGATAAAATGAGGCTGCTCAACATTCTTATGCAGCTCAGGAAATGTTGTAACCATCCTTATCTCTTTGATGGCATGGAACCAGGTATAAGCTCTTAAATGTGTGACAATGGGATACTTAATTTATGATTAATTGGTAAGAGATGAGTCTATAAAGTAAACTATGGCCAGATAAGCTACTCTCATCCAGTTGAATAAGTTAGGGGCTAAATATCCAAAGGGGTAATCATTAAGGTGTTACAAGTTGAAATAAGGTATACTTTTCTGTTTTGTAGCGTGACCATATTGTAAGTTTCATGATGTCCCTATGTAGTTAAATGCTCCAAATATATATTTTTTTTTATCAATTTTACATATTATAATCTATTTAATACATTGCTGTATACATTGCTGTGATGATCTAACTTTTTTTTTTTTTTTTTAATTAGGTCCACCATACACCACAGACCAGCATCTTGTGGACAACTGTGGCAAAATGGTCATTTTGGATAAGCTATTACCCAGACTAAAAGAAAACGGTAATGTGTTAATTTTCTATTAATGTGATGTCATTATTAAACCCTGCACTTAAGACAATCCTTTGAAGTAAAAAAAATTAATTAGTTACAAATCTGTCTTATATTGAAAAATCTCAAATTCCTCTTAAACATTTGTTTTATTACTTTCCAGACTCGAGGGTGCTTATATTCAGTCAGATGACAAGGATGTTAGATATTTTAGAGGATTTCTGTTTCTGGAAGGGATATGAATACTGTAGATTAGATGGACAAACTCCACATGAGGAAAGACAGGTAAATTGTATTCTTTATTACAATTATTCTTACCTTAGTATTACATTTCATTTATCTTGAATTACCTTGGCCTAGTAATTATTTCAATAGGCTACATATAAGTTACATTTGTAAATGCTTTCATTTGAAGTTTTTATATGGTGGTGAAGTAAATAAAATTTCTCTACTAATTTGATTTCCTTATTGTTATTTAGTAGTTGAAGCTGTAACTTGGCACTTGCGATATGCTCTTTGTGTTGTGTAATAAGTTTGCTGTAAGGATTTTGTGTTTTAAACTGTATACATGTTGTTTTTTTTCAGAAATCAATTCTTGACTTCAATCACCCCAATAGCACTAAGTTTGTCTTCATGCTAAGTACCCGTGCTGGTGGTCTGGGTATAAACCTTGCCACAGCTGATATTGTTGTTCTCTTTGACTCTGACTGGAATCCTCAAGTTGATCTTCAAGCCATGGTGAGTTTTTTAAAATCTCTTCTTTTTTCATCTAGAAATAAATTTTCTTGCATTCATAAGACTATGTTATTAAGAGCAGGTGGTTACATAATTTGTATAATTTCCTATATCTTGTATACCATTTTGGTGTTCGTTTAAAAGTTTTCATAAGTTTTCAAACTTCTTTACATCAAATTTAGGACCGGGCCCATCGAATCGGTCAAAAGAAGCAAGTTAGAGTGTTCAGATTTATCACAGAAAACACAGTGGAAGAACGCATTGTTGAGCGGGCTGAAATGAAACTTCGACTTGATAATGTGGTTATTCAACAAGGTAATGGCGCGATGGGCCAAAGTATTTAAAAAAGTTAATCAGATATTTGCTAATCCTCTTAACAAGTCTGCTGGGAATCCACAATGGGGGGCCTTGGGCTTTTTCTCAAAAGTTTTTTTTTTTTTTTACTAGAGTGATTTTAAATTATCCTTTTTAAGAATGAATCTTCTGAGTACAGCATTGAATTTATATTTATTAAAATAGGTACATGTAAAAGTAATGCATTATATATTATGTTTGTAGGTCGTCTGGTGGATCAAAACACTAACAAGCTGGGCAAAGATGAAGTACTTAACATGATTCGACATGGTGCCAGTCATGTGTTTGCATCCAAAGAGAGTGAGATTACAGAGGAGGACATTGATGCTATCCTGGCAAGAGGAGAGAAAAAGGTTAGTTGTTAACCAAGTTTTTTGCAAATCCCTGCTTCAATTTTGAAATTATTATATCTTATTTAAATATTCAAATGTATAAGAGATTCAATTAATTAACATTTAAATATTCTCAGACTGAAGAATTAAAGGAGAAGATGGATCAACTTGGAGAGAGCAGCCTTCGTACATTCACAATGGATGCTCCCGACAGTGTTTATCAGTTTGAGGGTGAGGATTATAGGGAGAAACACAAGCTGGGCACCATTGGAGCATGGATTGAGCCACCCAAGAGAGAGCGTAAAGCTAACTATGCTGTTGATGCTTACTTCAGGGAGGCGCTGCGTGTTAGTGAGCCTAAAGCACCCAAGGTACGCTTCAGTATCTTCCGTTTCCAATGCTATTCTTTTAATGGGTATATTACTGTTACTTTTGGAATATTAAAGTCCTCTCTTAAAATTTTATTAATTGTATTTCAGGCTCCTAGACCACCAAAGCAACCAAGCATCCAAGATTTTCAATTTTTTCCTCCCAGGCTATTTGAACTTTTAGACAAAGAGATCTATTATTTTAGAAAGACCATTGGCTATAAGGTAGCTTTGATTTTTGTATAGTTTGTATATGTTATTGATTAAAAAAAAAAAAAATCTCCTTTTCTTTGACTTTGTTATCGAATTATTTTTTAAGTCAAGGAGAAAAATTGTCCTGGTTTTAAGGGATGTACATTCCATTTAATAATTATATGATCTGATGTATGTGTCAATTGATGTTTATACCACGGTAAGCCCAAATTTAGTTGTTTGGTTTTATTTTGTTATTATCAACTAAATTCATATAAATGCTATCTTTTTTTATTTTGTATGTCAATTATAAAATTGAAGCTTTTGTGGTAGAAAGCTTAAATATTCTTGTCCTAAACTGTTTTCTCTCTGCAGGTTCCAAAGAATCCTGAGTTTGGAGCTGATGCTGATAGGATCCGCAAAGAAGAACAGGGGAAAATTGATCAGTCTTCACCGTTAGATGAAGATGAGCTTGCTGAAAAGGAGTCATTGCTCAAAGAGGTAAATGTAAATACCGTTCACAATTATTGCTTCAATAATAATATTGAATCATTGCAGTAAGTTTTTATTTATTTAGTAGAGAGATCAGTTCAATTATATAACATTTCATGTGGTCAGTATTAACTTGAATTATTTCACAAGTTTTATTTTATAATTTCAGAGTTGTCTTTTGGTTGTTGTTTTGTTGTTTTTTTCGTTGTATTTTAACAAATAGATGTAAATGCAATGAAAATCAGTCAAGAATTTTGTGGGATTTTCTCTGTAAAAAGATCAGTGTCTAAATTTCTTTTAAAAAAGTGTTCATAATTTGCAATAAAAATATAAAGCTGTTCCACTGTTGAACCTGTAATTAGTCAATTTCTGTAGGTTTCTTTTAAATATTTCAATACTTAATTGATTTCTTTTGAAACTGTTTGAATGGTTTACAACAGCATATTTGTGTGTTTCTTTTAAGTTTAAAAATGTGCCGTAAGATTTTGATGGTGGGAGTGTAATATGATTCAACTAGTAGAACCTTAAACAGTAATTCATTTTGGAGCTGGCTTGTCGCCCTGTTCACCGAAGACCAGACTTGAATGTTCAGTTGATTTTAAACCTGTCTAATATTCCTACATCGGCACTCTTTGTAGTAACTTGAGTTTTATGACTATGCAGCAAACTCTGTTTTCCTCCAGGGTTTCACCAACTGGAGTAAGAGAGATTTCCAGCAGTTCATAAAAGCTAATGAAAAGTTTGGAAGGGATGACATTGAAAGTATAGCCAGAGAAGTTGAAGGAAAGACACCTGAGGAGGTAAACAAATGTCACTGTCCCCATGTGTCAAGTGTGTTGATTCATGTCAATCTTGTGAAGTAATTGCCAAGAAAATACATTTGTAAAAAAAAAATTATAAATATATTTAAAAGTGTTTGTTGTATTATTTCTAATTTGATGGAAACATTACTTTTATTTGTTAAACAGATATTGGATATTGCCTACACTTTTGTTTCAAGATTTTAGGCAGTTCTCTTAAGTTAAGTCTGATTTGAAAATATTTTTGACTCTGTTATTTTACATAGGTCAATCAATACAGTAGTGTATTTTGGGAACGATGCAATGAGCTTCAGGACATAGAACGTATTATGGCACAGATTGAGAGAGGTGAAGCAAGAATTCAGCGAAGAATAAGTATCAAGAAAGCCCTTGATGCAAAGGTTAGTTAGCTTTTTATTCTCAAATCAAGACTTTAAAGGTTTTTCAATAATTTCTTAACATCTGTATAATAATTAAATTTCTCCTTTGAAATAAAATTGTACCATTAAAACGTTGTGGTCATACACTGTTAAGCTTCGCAGCCATTAACCCATTAGTATTATTCCCCACCCGCCAGATGTCAAGATACAGGGCACCATTCCATCAACTGAGAATCCAGTACGGTACAAACAAAGGCAAGAACTACACAGAGGAGGAGGACAGGTTCCTCGTGTGCATGCTCCACAAGCTGGGCTTTGACAAGGAGAATGTTTATGATGAGCTGAGGCAAGCCGTACGTCAGGCTCCACAGTTCAGATTTGACTGGTTCATCAAATCCAGAACTGCCATGGTGGGTTATCATTTTGTGTTATCTTTTACTGTCATGAACATGGAGATGAACGCAGCGTGGGATGCAACATTTAAATTTTCCTGATACTATTAAAATTAAACGATTATAATCTTTTGATTGTAATCTTTTGTGACCTTGAAACCTTCAATTTGAATGTTCTGACAGAAGACTAGTGCTTAGCATCCTTTTTTTTTTGTTTTTTACACCTGGCACACCTAGATCATTCTCATATTTCCGTGGCACACGTAGATCATTCTCATATTTCCGTGGCACACCTAGACCATTCTCATATTTCCGTGGCACACCTAGACCATTCTCATATTTCCGTGGCACACCTAGACCATTCTCATATTTCCGTGGCACACCTAGACCATTCTCATATTTCCGTGGCACACCTAGACCATTCTCATATTTCCGTGGCACACCTAGACCATTCTCATATTTCCGTGGCACACCTAGACCATTCTCATATTTCCGTTGCACACCTAGACCATTCTCATATTTCTGTGGCACACCTGGACCATTCTCATATTTCTGTGGCACACCTAGACAATGCCCATATTTCTGTGGCGCACACCTAGACCATCCCCATATTTCTATAGCACATCACAAGCAAAACGTGAGAAGAAAAAAACTTTTTGGCTGTTTTCTCAAACCATCGTGTTACCTTTTTTTAAAATATTTCTTATTGGCGTGAAATTAACATGAGCGAGTTGATATTTTATACCAAGTTATTTAACATAAAATAGGTTTTTCTCAACTGTTTAAAGGCGAATATCAATAGAGCAAACGTATGAGGAAAATTTTGAAATTGCATACACAAATTAAAAGGTTTTATTTTTAAATATACCTAGACCATCAATGTCTTACAAGAATGACAGCATATGTTCACATATATGAGAGGTTGAAAATGTAGAACTGCACCAGCCTCATTGGAAATTCTAGAATATTCTTCCTTGACTAAAGCCACCAATTCTGTGAGCTTGTGAAATTTGATTGTCCTGTCATTTCCCCAATTCCGGAAATTTCCCTTGAGCCTGGAATTAGAGTTCTTCTTGAGTAATTTGTATGTTTTAAGCAAAAGGATTTAGGATCCAGTCGTAAAGCTCTGTATTTACTGTATAAAAGTATATGGTTAAAAGTATGTGTCGAATGGTTTCTGTAGCAATGTTAGATTATGTTTCACCAAGTCAAATTTTTCAATAAGTGTTTCCAAAATATCCTTTGATATATTGTCCATTTATCATTTAACAGTATCAGCAGATAGAGAAACTTATTCTACATCCTAAGCATTATTAGGCCCCAGCATTATTCAAATGACTTCCATGCTCCATACTTGTTTAATAAGTGTTTCACCAATGACATGTTTGAACGTGATTTTAATCTTGAAACTTGATAACCAGCTTCTAACGCATAACCAGCTTGTGCAATAGAACATGTCAGAAGTGCCATTGCAGCACAGCTATTTCCTGTGCAACCGACCATGTCAGAAGTGCCATTGCGGCACACCTATTGTTTCCTGTGCAACTGACCTTAGAAGTGGCCATTGCGGCACATCTATTGTTTTCTGTCCCAAGTGAATTGAACAGGTTTTCAAAGTTACTGCCTTTCCTTTTCAGGAGCTCCAGAGAAGATGCAACACACTGATCACATTGATAGAGAGGGAGAACATGGAGCTAGAGGAGAAGGAGAAGGCAGAGAGAAAGAAGAAGGGTGGAAAGGGCACACCTAAAGGCGTCAAGAGGAAAAATGAATCCACTCCAACAAAGTCCAGTGGCAAGAAGAAAAAGGCATAAAGTGAAACCATTTAGGGGAGGGGGGATCATTTGAGTAGAGGTAGATGTGTTATAGATTTTTGTAATGTTTCAATAATGAATTTGACCTTAATCATCTGTAAGGAATCTCATGTATTTTCAAAAGCAATTAAGTAATGTAGTAAGAGTGGAAAGGTGTAATAGAAGCTGGTTTTAAAAAAAATAGAGCCTGTACTATAGAAGAATCTACATCTTTTAATTATATCACCCTTGCTTTATTGAAGGGGAAAAAACATTGTATTTCATTTATTTTTTTTTTGAATGATCAATAGTATACGTTTATGAAAACATTTTCTGTAGATTCACATTGGTGAAACAGGCCATTCTCATTCAGTTGCTCAAAAATATAATATGTCAACGTAGTGATGACATGGCCAACTTATACAAAGTGGTTCCTGACTTAACCACAAATCTATTTGAATGCTACTGACACCTTATGAAGGGCCAACCCTAAATCTATTTGAATGCTACTGACACCTTATGAAGGACCGTATCTACACCATCCATTCTTATTCATTGTAATTGAAACATGTAAGACAACGTGATTTTAGTTCTACTAGTTTTTCATTGTAGACATCTACAAATCAGTGTTTTTACATTATAAAGGCACTCAAGTTTTATATAAAACTTCATGTGTTGTTGTTTTGTTTTTTTTTTTTGTATTTTACAAGTCCATAATTTTAGGAAATGTCACCTTTGATTTTAGTCTTGTCTGATTATTCATAATTTAACCATGCTTCATCATTTATCTTGGGCCATTGTGTACAGTTGATTAATATTACTGTTGGTTTTTTTATTAATAAATCCACAAAGTGGTGTTTTTGTATCAATTGGTTGCTTTTAATTGTGAATATATCTGGTGGGCATTGTTAGTTTGTCTAACCATAGTTACAGAACTGGATGTCTGTCATTAAACTTGAGAGTAACGCAAGCTCTGGCTTAAGTTTGATTATGAAAATATCCCATAAATTAGATACTTTGCAGATACCCGTGGTCAGTTCCAAGAAACAGTTAAAACATCTTAAGGATTAGTTTGGGCTAATTTTAAAAAAAAAAAATTTTTTAATCTCATTACATCTGGTTTTTTTGGGGGGTTTTTTTTATCTTAAGACATGCAGAGTTTAGTTCATTGTCAAACCAAGGCTTGATGCCTTAACTAACTTATTGCTTCTGACATCTCTCTCTCTCTCTCTCTCTCCATTGCCTCCTTTGCATCACCATCATCTTGGAATGGGAGGGGGGGGGGGTGTTG